GCCAGCGTGTAGTCGCACAGCTCCAGGGCCACGTACTCACTGGTGCATGTCTCGCTCATGCCCTGGGAGGGAAGGGGGTGGAGGGGGGGCTTCGAGATATCACCTGTTGGGCCCTGGGTGGGTGGGCTAAGAAGTCGTGGTTTACTAAGCCCCATAGCTTTGATGTGTGCAGGGTTTACTAAGCCCCATAGCTCTGATGTGTGCAGGGTTTACTAAGCCCCATAGCTCTGATGTGTGCAGGGTTTACTAAGCCCCATAGCTTTGATGTGAACAGGGTTTACTAAGCCCCATAGCTTTGATGTGAACAGGGTTTACTAAGCCCCATAGCTTTGATGTGTGCAGGGTTTACTAAGCCCCATAGCTTTGATGTGTGCAGGGTTTACTAAGCCCCATAGTTTTGATGTGAGCAGGGTTTACTAAGCCCTATCCGGTTGGGGGTTGAGACTTACTAAGACTACAAATCTGCTGTGTGGTCATATGTTGTTTTAAATAACGTGTTCTGTGATTGTAGGAGAATGTAGAATATCTTCTCGACTATACGTCTACAGGGGCCAGCATGGAAGCTGTTGGAGTAGAGTAACTCGGATCAACACATGTTGATTTGTCCCATATCTGCCTGCTTAATTAACTCATACACACACACAAAAAGCAACAACACGGTACCTCAAAGTTCAGAGCTCCAACAAAAAGAGCCTGTCACGTTCTCGTGCATCTTACCTTGCACTTGAGGATAAAATGGTGATCAAGGTCAGGGTCACACATGATTTCCAGGAGACAAGGGTCTATGTAAGCAGCAGATTTTTCCAGTATGAGAACCGCGACCTCGTGTCCATCGGTGGTCAGTCCCAACACCAGCGGGTATTCCCTGTTAAAAAAGTTGAAAGAAGATGGGACTAGTAAAGCAATTGATGACGTGTGATCCAATCTTCTGATTTAACACGTGATTCTTTACTAGGTTCTCATTGAACACATTGCCCGGCCGAATTCTAGATGTGAAAGCAGTAATGTTAACTGACCAGCGTGCTGGGGCACTACAACATTATGTAAGAGAAAGGACGCATCTCTGTAGTGATACTTTTCAATGTTTGTTTGAAGGCTTGGGTAACGCCTTCTATAGCGTAGCTACTATCAAAAGAATAAAATTGACCTCAATATATGACCCAGTAAAATGAGAGTTTGCTTTCTAAGATCTTACACCCCGATGTTATATGCTCAGACCTTCTTGCTATATGAGATATTACCACCCGATGTTATATGCTCAGACCTTCTTGCTATATGAGATGTTACCACCCGATGTTATATGCTCAGACCTTCTTGCTATATTATTATGAGATGTTACCACCCGATGTTACATGCTAAGACTTTGCTATATGAGATGTTACCACCCGATGTTATATGCTCAGACCTTCTTGCTATATTATTATGAGATGTTACCACACGATGTTATATGCTCAGACCTTCTTGCTATATGAGATGTTACCACCCGATGTTATATGCTCAGACCTTCTTGCTATATTATTATGAGATGTTACCACCCGATGTTACATGCTAAGACTTTGCTATATGAGATGTTACCACCCGATGTTATATGCTCAGACCTTCTTGCTATATTATTATGAGATGTTACCACACGATGTTATATGCTCAGACCTTCTTGCTATATGAGATGTTACCACCCGATGTTATATGCTCAGACCTTCTTGCTATATTATTATGAGATGTTACCACCCGATGTTACATGCTAAGACTTTGCTATATGAGATGTTACCACCCGATGTTATATGCTCAGACCTTCTTGCTATATAAGATGTTACCACCCGATGTTACATGCTCAGACCTTCTTGCTATATTATTATGAGATGTTACCACCCGATGTTACATGCTCAGACCTTCTTGCTATATGAGATGTTACCACCCGATGTTATATGCTCAGACCTTCTTGCTTCATGAGATGTTACCACCCGATGTTATATGCTCAGACCTTCTTGCTTTATGAGATGTTACCACCCGATGTTACATGCTCAGACCTTCTTGCTATATGAGATGTTACCACCCGATGTTATATGCTCAGACCTTCTTGCTTTATGAGATGTTACCACCCGATGTTACATGCTCAGACCTTCTTGCTATATTATTATGAGATGTTACCACCCGATGTTACATGCTAAGACTTTGCTATATGAGATGTTACCACAAGATGTTATATGCTCAGACTTTGCTATATGAGATGTTACCACCCGATGTTATATGCTCAGACTTTGTTTTATGAGATGTTACCACCCGATGTTATATGCTCAGACCTTCTTGCTATATGAGATGTTACCACCCGATGTTATATGCTCAGACTTTGCTTTATGAGATGTTACCACCCGATGTTATATGCTCAGACCTTCTTGCTATATGAGATGTTACCACTCGATGTTATATGCTCAGACCTTCTTGCTATATGAGATGTTACCACCCGATGTTATATGCTCAGACTTTGCTATATGAGATGTTACCACCCGATGTTATATGCTCAGACTTTGCTTTATGAGATGTTACCACCCGATGTTATATGCTCAGACTTTGCTATATGAGATGTTACCACCCGATGTTATATGCTCAGACTTTGCTTAATGAGATGTTACCACCCGATGTTACATGCTCAGACCTTCTTGCTATATTATTATGAGATGTTACCACCCGATGTTACATGCTAAGACTTTGCTATATGAGATGTTACCACACGATGTTATATGCTCAGACTTTGCTTTATGAGATGTTACCACCCAATGTTATATGCTCAGACCTTGCTATATGAGATGTTACCACCCGATGTTATATGCTCAGACTTTGCTTAATGAGATGTTACCACCCGATGTTATATGCTCAGACTTTGCTTTATGAGATGTTACCATCCGATGTTATATGCTAAGACTTTGCTATATGAGATGTTACCACCCGATGTTATATGCTCAGACTTTGCTTAATGAGATGTTACCACCCGATGTTATATGCTCAGACTTTGCTATATGAGATGTTACCACCCGATGTTATATGCTCAGACTTTGCTTAATGAGATGTTACCACCCGATGTTATATGCTCAGACTTTGCTTAATGAGATGTTACCACCCGATGTTATATGCTCAGACCTTCTTGCTATATGAGATGTTACCACCCGATGTTATATGCTCAGACTTTGCTTAATGAGATGTTACCACCCGATGTTATATGCTCAGACTTTGCTTTATGGGATGTTACCACCCGATGTTACGTGCTCTTCATCATGAGCATTCTAAGTTTTGATTTATTCAATATGCAGATGATGTTTTATGTTACAATGAAAAAATGACTCACACGTGGCTTATGTTGTACTCCCCTAGGGCATTGGGCAGCACGATGTCCCCATACTGACGTCGCATTGTCCAGGGCGTGTCCAGGATGCGGTTTATGGCGTCCCTCCATCTCCTGGGGGTCATTGTTATGGGGGGGGAATGTACATAGTTTGTTTTTTGATGATACACCGGTGTTTCATAAAAATTCAGACGGACAAACTTATAAAAGGAAATAAATCAGTGGTGTGGCTAGGGTTAGTGACGAGGAGAAAAAAAGCAACTCATCAGTTGGACGAAAATGACGACCATAAATATAAGGAAAACCAGTAACCTCTCGGACACTGCATGGCACCTGAGTGTTATTTTTTATTTAATTCTGTTTTTACAGTTGTTTGTTCGCTGGTGGAGGCTTCTTGCCGACACATTCGTTTTTTTTAGTTGCGTTATTTTCTCTTTTTTTTTCGGTTTTCTCATTCTATGTTTTGCTCATTTCCATTTGTCTAACCTGATTGCAGCCTCTCCGCATCACGACCAGATTGTATGGGATGGCGTGGTTGTTGAGCCCACACCCATCCCCTGTGGTTACACGTGCCACTGTTTACCTGCTGGATCTCTCCGTGGTCGAATCCCGGTCCGGCGACAAGCAGCGGCAATCTTGATTGTACGCGTTCCGAGAAGCCGCGAGGTTGTGTCGGTCAAGGTCACATCTGCTGCCAGCCATGCCATCTCCTGAAAGGTGACAAGAAAAAGTGGCATTCAGCTTATTTTGATGACGTCATCAAAGCGTTGTGAACACATCCTTATACTCGACATTTTTTCCCCCAAATATCTCAAATACTGATTTATTTACACCCAACCCCAGTGTTTAAACGGCAAATTTGTGGTCTTTTCCCCGTAGTGAAAGGTTATAAGCAAGTACATACGCGAGTTTCTTTTGGCAGATGGGGGATGTTCTGAATACCTTCAGCATGAACTTCTTTTTCAAACCTTGAGATTCCAACCAGTTGCTTAGGCAAGGCAATGCCGTGTCGTGGCTTCACTTTTTTTAAAAATAATATGTAGAGGTTGTATTTTGGGAACACTGCGGATTTTGTTATTTTTTCGTGCGGAAGAATTGAGGGTAGACAAATTATCTGCCCGACCCTATCGGCGCCAACCCTACCTCCGCCACAGAGTCTACGTCTTTTCTTTCTTTTCATGTTAAGCTCCAAAGAGCTGGGACGTAGCTCAAAACCTTAGATAACCCTATTTTCCACACTGAAAACAGAACGTCAGCGGGGCCGTCGGTTAATTGCCACACACTGTGCAGGGGCGTCACAATGGAAATGGCTACAGGTCTCGTCTGCAGAGCTCCAGCTGAAATCACTTCCCAAGACATCGCTCAGACAGGAAGCCCCACGGCTGCGAAAACAAAGCCATTGAGAGACCTAGAGACAAATCGTCGAGCACGGACCCTGGAAAAAAAACCTGTTAGTGTGTAGACGGTTCCAAGCGGAATCAGACAATAGACCGCGGGATCCCTTGGCGTTCGCCGGAAACACTAGCTTGCGCAGGACGGAACTAGGAGGATCTTTTCGCTTCTCACTGACATATACCTTAAGTAGCTATGGCTCACTTCAAACATTAACCAACACTAAATAAATGCTGCGAGGAACTGACCACTGCACGCCTCCGTTGGCATGGTTCCGATAAGAATGTCCTTAATCTTGATCCTGTACAAAGAAGCGTAATATTCCATGTCGTTGCCGTAGACCGAATCTCTGAGCGCCCACATGGCGGTGTCTCTCATCAGGCAGTTTGCTTGGTGAATGAGGAATTGTTGGCGAATCTGGAAGAAAAACACTTAAGATGAGTAGCGTTTGAATGATTTAATATGGAGTGTTTAAATGATGTAATATGAAGCGTTTAAATCATGTCACATTTAGAGTGCTAGCTATATATTTTTAACAATTATAGAGGTTAAATTTAATGACACGCGAATGAGAGAGAGTGTAAAATAAATATTACAAAATGTTCATGGTCACCTGGTTTATGGCTATTCTCTCCACCAAAAGTGGGTCAGCGAACAAGTCCGAAAGTAGGTCATTTGACGACGACTCGTGAAACGCCGGGAAGCTTTGTTTCTCCGCCGCCCTCGGTTCCGGCTCGTCCCGGAGATCGCTCGGGAACAGAACAGGGGGGCTCAGCTGACGGTGCTGGCCCGGGTACAGGCGGAGATGCTGATGCTGCCGCTGCTGGAGCAAGTTCAAGGGCGTCTTCTGCTGCTGTGAGCCGGGGACGCTCTTCGGTAGTTTGTAAAGCTGCTGAGCCGCCGCGGTGCAGCACGCGTTCTGGCGTTCTTGGAGCTGCTGCTGCAAGACGAACTGTTCGGCGCTCCGCCGCTGGTAGGTGTCCACTGCGTCCTGGTATGAGATCAGCGGCGTGTCAGCCGGACGTTTCTGAAGGGCGCTCAGGCTTTCTGGGGCCCGCCGTGCAGCAGGTCGTGACTGCACGCGGCCGGTGAGGATGGACGAGAAGTCGACCAGGCCGGCGGACGCTGCGGTGGTGGCGGAGGAAGACAGAAATGGGGAGAAGTTTTGTGCGCATGCGCCGGTTAAAAGCGTTGACCTGTCCAGCGTGCCGGATGTGTACGTAGGGCGGTCCGTCCAGTTGCCGGCGTTTCCATTACCTGGTGACAGTTATGGATTTATCAAACACAATGATTATGTTTTTAACTACATTGTACGAAATGGTGTGGGACTTGCTAGATTCAAGTAACACAATTCAGTTCAAATATCCTTCCGGACACTAAGAATAGACAATTTTTCAATGTTTAATATGCGATCGCCTCTCCATTTAAAATATTTTACCCCTATAGAACGAAAAGATGTTTTCTGCTGTTTTGACTATTATAAGTAAGTTTGGATTACCTGAATTAAAAATAGTAATTTTTTTTTTTAATGAAACGCCACTTACGACCGGTATACTACTTTGTTTTCAAGTTTGAATATTAAGATGATAATCAGACGAATCAAGCTATTTTGTAAAAGAAGATCAAGTATTGTGTACCAAAGAACGGATCAACGTTTCATGAGTATTACCTGGAAGAACTTGTGAAGAGCAAGTGGGCAAGCCAAACACTGACTGTGCCATGGACGCCCGACTGACAGAGCTGTTGGACAGTGTTGAGAGGGAGCTTGGCACAGTGAAGACGGGTGCCGCGCTCACCGAGAAAAGATGACGCCGCTGCGTGGTCAGACCGTCCTCGTCGGACGTGGCGATCTTCGTGAAAGGCCCGACGACGCCCACCATCGGCGACCTTGACCTGGGAGCCCCAAACAAGACATGTTTGTCCGACTGTCTCGGGTCGTAGTCTGCGAGCGCGTCCGACGAATTTGAGGTCAACGGGAAGAAGCTGTGCGCGCCAGATTCTTGACCCACCACCTGCCCAGAATTCCCGGCAGAGGATCTTAGCGGAAATGAGGTTTGAGACGTCAGCAGCGCCAGGGTTTGGTCTAAGGACAGCGCCCTCATTGGGTTGGGCTTCTGCAGTTGAAAGCCAGGCGGTGGAGAAGGGACGTCTGTCACTTTGCTGCTGTACGTGGGTGGTTTTGAATCGACGGCAAAACTTGACAATGACGTCACGGTGGGGGTCAAAACCGACTCGACGACGGACGTAACGATCGGGTTGTTCTCCACGGCGCTGGACATGCTCGCAAAGCTCGGCATGTAGCACTGGGCGGCCTGCTGCTGGGACGCCGTCACGTTGTGGTTTTCCAATCTCATCAAGTCACCCCAGGTGGTGCTGCCCAGAGTACGGGTGATCGGTTTGAGTCGAGACTCCTTCCCCGCCCACTGGGATTTCTCCGCTTCGAGCTGCAACAGCTGCCCCGTCTGCCATTGCTGCAAGGCACAGCCCTGGTCGAAGTAGAGATTTTTGTGCTGATAGGTACCGTCAAACATAGGCTTCAACCTATCCGATATATTTTCTTTGGTTGACCTTTGGAACAGGGCCTCGGGGACATCACCGGTCGTAAATGGAGCGATCCTCAAATCACTCAGCATGTCTCTTGGCAGGTTTCGCGTCGACAGTAACGGTGGAGTTCTGGGTCTGGACGAACCGCCGTCAATATTTTCAACGTTGCATTCGCCCGGCTGCAGGTTACTAAGCCCCAACATGTCAACAGGACTCGGCCTTGAACTAGAACCCCAGGAGCTAGAAAATAGCAGAGACGATTTGGACTCCACCCAATTCCAAGGAGAGCTGCCATCTTGTTTCTCATCGTGCTTATGGTGGTTTTTGTTCGTCGATGTCGGCTCCTGGACATTTTTCTGACCCAAGAATCCGCCCATGTCATCGAATGAAAACAATTTCTGCTCCTTGGAGTCATCGCAGAAATTCGAAAAAGTGCGAGCGAAGGAGGGGAACTCTTTAGACTTGGACATCGGCTTCGACAGGGGTGGGTCCAGCAGGTTGAAATCCTCAGCCACGGAGTTTTTGAGACAGCTCGACAGGCCCGACGGGCATTCCGATGATGCCGTGGACGAGACTTCGTCGCTCTCGCAATCTGAAGAGACGGGAGTGGGCGTGGCCTGCTCAGCCTCGGGTTCCTTGACGGACATGTTGTCGACGAAAGCGTTTCGGGCTATCTGCTGCCAATCAGCCCCGTCCTCTTCTGTTCTTTGTTTTGTTTCTTCCGATTCACTTCCGGCGCTCGTTGGCACATCCGTGCTCCTGGGCAGGCTCGATAGCTTGTAGTAGTCGTGGGACCCACTTCGTCCCACATCGCCCAGTAACACGGTGAAGTTTCGGGTCCCGCTGTCTCTAGCGCAGCCGATTTTGGCAACGTCTGCCCACCGCATGGGCGCGGGCCTGGGGAACTCTTGAGCCTTGACCGCGTTGGAGCTGATGGCAGACGGCGCCGCTAGCTTAGCCGTGTTCCTGCAGCTCTGCTTCCTGTTCTCCACTTTGACCCAGCCGTCGTTGGCATCCGAGTTGACCCTGTCTTCAGATCCTCCGGAAATCGGAGGGAACTCCTCCGCCACGGAAGGCGGACACCATTTGGCATCGTCGTCCGGGAGTTTCTCCGCCGTAAGGCAAGTCTCCGAAGGAAAAGCTTTCCTCGTCACGATCTGCGCCTCCCGCCCGATGGGGCCGTGCAAGGCGGGAAAAGGCTGCGGCGGTTGTGGATCTTGCTTCTGTTGGAAGTACAGCTGCACCTGGTCTTTGTCCGAAACCGTTTCCGCCGCTTGGGAGAATAGATCGGCGCCCCGGCAGCCTTCTCCCGCCCAGGCGCGGTTATGTCCCCCCGCCTCCTCGTCTGTGCTCCCGTCGGCCGTGGACGGCTGGGGTGTTTCGGACTTTGCGGTCTTGCCGTGCTTCTTCTGCCGCTTCCGTTTCTTCTTCTCCCTCTTGATCCTGTCCCTCTCCTCTTCCTCGAGCAGCTCGGCCAGGTTCTGCTCCCTGTCCTTGGCTTCAATGCCCTCGACGAAACTCAGGAACGTCTTGATCACGTGACCCACCTGAAGACCTTGACCCAGATGGTTGCTGAGGTTGATGTGCGTAATGAACGTCTTGTTTCGTGTCAGCAGCTCCTTGTAGAAACTCAGATTCCCACTTGAAAGATTGCAAGAGATGATATTCACAGCGTGGGTAATTAATAATACGACTGAGATATATTAGTCAGCAAACACGGTATTAACAACTCCAGGGAGTCACTTGTGTAGGTCAGGATAAGGTATTTGCCCCCCCCCCAACCCATTGAATTTTCAAGTTTCATTAAATTGCTATATACTGTGGCCCAGTAATAAACAACTTAACAAGCCGACCAAGTTTTGGTTTTTATCTTATATTAGTCAGCAAACACGGTATTAACGACTCCAGGGAGTCAGTTGTGTAGGTCAGGATAAGGTATTTGCCCCCCCCCCCCAACCCATTGAATTTTCAAGTTTCATTAAATTCCTATATACTGTGGCCCAGTAATAAACAACTTAACAAGCCGACCAAGTTTTGGTTTTTGCCCCCCCCACCCCGAAAAAATCCCAAAATGACGCCCCTGAATAACTCCTATGTAGTTTATAATTTTGACACCTTATTGAGTTTTTTTTCCTAAACGTAAAACTATTCTTTACAGTAATAAAGCAACGAAGACTAACTAGAGGCCAGTATTTGGCATACATTTAAATAAATTTCATAATTAATGTTAATATGATCAGCTTTTTATTCCTTTATGAAAAAAAAAATTAAAATATTACATACATGTTTTTTTTAAAATGATGATTAAAAACAGTTAACTGGTTGATGTTGATGTGTTTCTATTTATCCTTGACCTGTATGTTCTGTAGTCTTCTTCCGAGGTTTTGGACCCGTTTTCATAATTCACCTGTGTTGACCTATTTTTGTAACTCACCTGTTCTGTCCAAGCCACGCCCGACCTGCTGATCTGCTAGCCAAAATCATGACCGGAAGTAGAGTGCTGACGATGATGTAGGTGTCATGGGCCGTGAACACGTTGGTGCTCAGCTTCTCCATGACAACATCTGGACCTGCAGGTTACATTCTATTTTATACCATTCAATTGTAAACATTCCAATTTTATACTTTTCTATTTTAAACATCCCAGTTTTATACTATTATATTTTAAACATATCAAGTTTATACTATTTTATTTCAAACAATCCAATTTTATCCATCCATCCATCCCTGTGGCGCTACAGCCCATGTAGGGCTTTGGCATGCCTCACCACTTCCTTCCACTCAGACCTAACTAATGCCTTTCTTTTCCATAATCCAATTTTATACTGTTCCATTTTAAACAATCCAATTTTATACTGTTCTATTTTAAACAATCCAATTTTAAACTATTCTATTTTAAACAATCCAATTGTGTTCTATTCTATTTTAAACAATCCAATTGTGTTCTATTCTATTTTAAACAATCCAATTGTGTTCTATTCTATTTTAAACAATCCAATTGTGTTCTATTCTATTTTAAACAAACTCGTAGAATTGGAGCCTTTGCCGCTTTGACAATTTCCTATTCGCTGCAGAGCTCTAAAAACTTACGGAAAAACTGCATACCCCCTTTCCCGAACCCAATGGCCCATTCACATGTTTAGAGCTATGCATGATCACATTCATTCTTCTATGGCGTAATTGGGTTAGTCTACGTCTCGTTGTCGTAACTTTTCTTTTTGGTGCGATTTTCTCAACAAAGTTTAAATATAAGCCTCAGCGTATTTCTAGAGCCCAGGACTTTAAAAACGTCTTATAGTCACCGACATAAATATCTGCTGAAGCGGTACTGAGCAGGACGCTCTTGACCGGCCGCTCACGAAGAACAGCGTCCAGGACCCCGGGCCGACGTATTCGTAACCGTTAAAGTCAAAACCAGGATCAAGGACCCCCCCCCCACTGATAAGCAGTGGACGCGGATAGCCTGGCTTATAGTCACCAGAGGCGTGGCTAGAGTGTTTTGCGGCCGGGGGACAGATTCATTGTAAAGCGCCTCCGTTTATTTTTGCAACTCTCAAACCCATTATTTTCATCAATCAGTCTGGCGCCCGGGGACATCTGTCCCTCCACCCTTAGCTACGCCTATGATAGTCACTGATTATCTTAACTGTTTTCAACAACAAAAATGTCCTGTCCGAACATTATACGCTTCCAATGACGGTACATCCAAAAATAGTCCGCACACCAGATTCTAAGGCAACTTCAGAGGCGATGCACCACCCTCTCCTTGGAGGATTTTCCTTACCCACCTCTGCACTCTAGGAACTGTTGCAAAAGTTCATCTCTGGTGTCAGCGTTCTTTGCGTCTTCCGGCACGGACGGTGGGTCTTCCTGTGACGTCACATCCTCGGGACAATCCTTCCAGATCAGCTGACTGATCATCAAGCAGGCGGTGGACAAAACCTGGCAATAACAAACAAACAAAAATGTTCAAATTCATAATGGGGACGTTGGAAAATCACGTCAATTATCCAACCAGGGGCGTCTACAAAAAAAAGGAGGGGTTGGGTGGTTTTAGGAGTTTTTTGTGGGGGGGGGTGTAAAAATCCTCCCTGCCTGCCTTTTGAATTTCTGTAGGTAACATAATGAATACGGCAAGGATGACAATATTTATTACGCATGTTTTAAAAGTATATTTGTTATTGGAGCTGGAGTGAGATTTGTTTTATGGGTTAAAAAGTCTTTATCTACCGCCAAGCTTTATAGGGCAATTGAACCGCTAACCTCTAGTAGAGGACCACACGCGCTTTGACCGCTCCGCCACCCAGACGCATGGATCAAACAAACGTATTTAGGCGTACTAAAATGCATTCTTTTTTTTTTTTTAATAATCACAGCATTTGGTATTTTGATTGGCTGAAAAGCTTGTGAACTCTTTTTTTTTTTTTTTGTAAATCAACATCATTATTCCGAAAATGTTCTAACACTCTTGTGATAAGGTTTTTCAAATGTGATACAGTGTTCCGGCAATGTTCTAACACTCTTCTGATAAGGTTTTTCAATTATGATACAATGTTCCGACAATGTTCTAAAATGCTCTAACAATTTTCTAACAATATTCTAACAATATTTGAACAATGCTATAACAATATTCTTACAATGTTATAACAATGTTCTAACAGTTATCTATTTTTTAACAATTTTCTAGCAATTTTTAACTGTAATTTTTTTGTTTTATAAATAGTCTGTCGGGGGGGGGGGGGTGTGGCACTGATTTCATGGAGCCAGTAAAAATCATTAACACAAATGAAGACGTGGATTTTAGTGAGACTTTGTGTTTGTTACGTCACTGAAATTCCGTTAAATCTGATCCATGTGGTCTCCGTAAATTTGTTTTTGTTTTTTGTTTTTTTTTTTGGTTGTTCCTTCTGGTGTGTCCTGCTTCCTTTTCGAAACCACCCCCACCCCCAAACTCCACATGTTTTGTATTAATGGTACTGAGTGGGAAAAGGATGTCATACGTGACGTGTGAACTCAGGTAAAGAAAAATAGTAGGTGCGAGGTGACTACTATATTAATCACTAAAGAGCCACTTGTATGGTGTAGGAGTGTCTGTAGGACTATTGTTTAAAGGCCGGCAGGTTTGTAGGCCTATTTCTCAAAATATCCGAGCCCGGTGTAAGAAGACACACACACACACACACACAAATAACAACTGCACTCGGTTAAGCCGTAGTTTTCCTCTCTTTAGTCCATTTTCTAACCAGTTTTTTTTTTAAACAACTGTTAAAAACATAGTTATAAATTAACCCGTCTTAAAAATTGCAAACATTAAAATAAACCATGTCATTTATCAGCAAGAATAAACATATTTTGTTCCATTCTTCATCAAGTCTATCATTCGTTGTTTTTTTTGTTAATTTCAGTCCAAAACATTTGTATTTTTTAAATGTTTTAAATTGTGTACATTGCAAATCATTTCACCATTACATCTCAGGACAAAAACAACAACACTCAAAGTCAATTACCTTTTACAGTTGGCCTACTCTAATGACCTTTCACAGTTGGCCTACCCTAATGACATTTCACAGTTGGCCTACCCTAATGACCTTTCACAGTTGGCCTACCCTAATGACCTTTCACAGTTGGCCTACCCTAATGACCTTTTACAGTTGGCCTACCCCAATGACCTTTCACAGTTGGTCTACCCCAATGACCTTACACAGATGACCTACCCAATGACCTTTCACAGATGACCTACCCCAATGACCTTTCACAGTTGGCCTACCCCAATGACCTGTCACAGATGACCTACCCTAGGGGACGTCACGTGGAGCCGGATGGCCTGTACCAGGTGATTGATCGGGTCAGCGCGAGCCATCTGGCGGAGGTAGTCCTTCTGAAGACTCTTCACGACCAGCAACAGCGACCCCAAAATGGACTGAATGTCAAGGGCTGGGTCAGCCGGGGTCAGACTGCACAACCTTTGTATTCGCCTCTGTTGGAGAATTAAATGAACGTCTGCAGAGTGTTTACATTGATCCGTGGCAACACGGAGACAGCACAGTACGAGAAAATCTTGTTGACAGTTTACATTAGACCTAAGACAACTTGTGTGGATCAATACCAGAAGAAGAATAACAGGAAATTACGGCATTGAGAGACATTATCATCGTCATAATCGTCATAAATGTTTGTAAAGGAGAATTATTTATTTATTTTTTGTTCTTTTTTTTTTCAAAGAGATATTTGAAGGCTTTGTAAAAGACAGGCCAGCTGCGCTTGCAGGTAAAAGATAGCGTATCCCGAAATTTGATCGAAAGAAATTTCGTCGACCGTAAATTGATCGACGGTAATTTAATCGAACGGAAATTAGGTCAAATCTTTTATTCCGTTTATTACGTTAAAATTTTGTTTCAAATTCCTTTTTGAACGCATTATTTTGTTTTACTATATAATATAGTGCGTTCAAAAAGAAATTTGGCGAAAATTTTAACGTGTGAACTGAAAAAAGGTTTCGATCAAATTTCCGTTCGATCAAATTACCGTTGATCAATTTACCGTCGACGAAATTCCTTTCGATCAAATTTCCGGTAACCAAAAGATAGAGACTTTCGTATTAAAAAAACTGTTGCTATGATATATTTTTGGACAATATCTTGTT